GAAGATAAAAGAGATACATATAGAATATACTAAGATCCAAATGAATATGATCAAGTTACACCTGTGTCTTCAAGAAGTGGAAATAAGGAAGAGCCTTTTCAATTCCAAAATAGCAACAATAGAATTGTAAGTTTGGAAAATTACACGTCTAATAGAGTTTGTGGTCGTGATAAAGTTATGCACGCATAAAGCTTTGAAGAAGACTTGGTGGAACATTTGTGGCTCAAATTCGGTGTTAATACTAGGCAAAATGATATGCATTGATAAATGTGCTATTGTAACATTTATTTTACTAATCTCTAGTTAATCACGCTTGTTATGGAATATGTATTATTGTTATCATTAAGGAATTTAGTAAAGTAAAATAACAAAGTAACCCCTAATATACTAACAAAGTAGCCCCTATATTATTGTTCAATTTATTTCTTAATTAATGACTAATTACTTACTAATTATATCCCAAATTGCTTTAATGAATTAATTACAAGTCATTTTAACTAATGTTAATGTATAATAATTACTTTTGACCGATTATTAACTTTGCATTATTTGTCTATTTATATGATATAAGAGAGAGATTGTATGGTAGGGTAGGGTATAAGTAGGAAAGAGAAAATGAATAACCAAAAAATTATGGACAACCATCCATTGGGGTATATTGGTTATAAAATGATAATAAGAGTAGTTACAAATAAGATGGAAGATAGAGAAATGAATAAAACAAATGGTAACCACAATGGTTGTGGTTAACCATAGGGTATACTCTAACGATGGCCAACATAACATGCTAAAAAATAATACTTGAGTTTATAAATAAGTAAGGTTTTCTTTTCGTTAAGGAACAAATATATTACCTCAATTTCATAATATTTTTAATCTTTGCTAGAAATGGTCACAAATAAATTTTGTGTAAGAGTCTACAAACTCATTTGTTGTAAGTAATATGAAAGAGAGGTACTTAGGAATTATATTTCTCCGAACTATTAAAACTATAGTAAATCAAGTGGTAGCCTACGGGTATGGTAGAACTCCCTACTCCCACCTTTCAACCATACATGAGGTTAATTGCTAACTTTCTGGTAGTAATTAAATTATTTAGGTGAAACTCCTAGTTAAAAATATAAAATGGCTAAAAACTAAAATGGCCAAGGATTCTTTGTGGTTAGTTCCCTTAACTGCACCCACCTAAATACCTAACAGCCTAATAGGGGTTGTGAGATTACATTAGACTCTTGATTTAGAATGCAACAGTATTAGATTATTAGTTTGATTTACCAAGAAAGCTTGTTCTGGTTATACTTCTTCTTATCAACTGCAATAATTGATTCATCAGCAAGTGTTAAAAATTCATAATTATCAGTGTCCTTTTTTTTGACGTATACATTCTTGTAATTGATCATATATTGAACGTAACCTTTCAGAATCATCTGTAAAATTCTAACAAGAGTTCAAATTAGTCGAAATTCCATATTTGTTAAGCCCTATAATTGTAGCACTAGCTATGCGCCTGCAGTGGTCCTGCACCACGACTTTGTTAGGCATGCATCCTGTATATTTCTTCTTTTGTTGATAGCAATTTGCCCATAAGTGTTAGGAGGCAATGAAGACAATGACGCGCTTAATTAGTAGTTGGTAACTAGCTTTTGAAATCCTTTATTACCCAAAATATCAAATTAGTTGTACACTCATTGTGGAAATTAAGGACTTCTAAAACATAAACAGAGACTTGATAACAAAATGCATACATATTTGAATAAAGAACAAATGTGGCATGGACTTATCTAACATTTTATCTTAGCCTTTGTTTAGGGAATCCTTGTTTCGTATGAAATTATTCTTTTAAAGCTTGTACCGCCTATGAACTTATAAGGTTGGACCCTCTATTGATTTATAAAGTTCCCTTCATTCAAATAAATACCTTAAGAAAACATAAGCTACTTTGAAGTTCAGAAAGTAAGAATGCAGCCAAAATATATGCATTCCCTATTGCTTTCTTTGTGGTTCATTCTTATTGAAGGTGTCATTCAATTGCAGGCGTCGCATTATCATTGGGTTGTAAGTATATTCTGCTTCCATCAGAAGCTCTTTGTTCTGGTGATGTTGCTTCTGCTTTATGTATAACGAAACGCTAAGTGCAATGACATGCCATGCATATAATAAATAATAATAAGCAAGATTGATATGTATATGATATTCTGAAAATAAAAAACTGTTACTTTTTGTGTACATGTTAAGTTGATGTCTCTTATGACTACATTGTGGAATATAGGTGACAGAAGCACCCTACACTAGACTCTGTGGAACGAAGTCCATTCTTACTGTAAATGGGCAGTTTCCAGGACCAACAATCTATACGCACAAAGGTGAAACAGTTGTAGTAGAAGTTGTCAACAGAAGCAAACATAACATCACCCTTCACTGGTAAGACCATTACTTATCTGCATGCTGATCCGTCTACGGAGTGCTTGAGTGGAAGAGTATTACATGAAACCTCTATAGAAATTAAACAAAAAATTAAAAATACAGAAGCTATTCTCCAAAGTTCTGAGTAGGCTGAACATACTTTTCTTTAGATCTAAAAGATTACATTTTTCTTGCTCCTATCTTCCTCATTTCCTCATCTCCATCTGTGCCTAGTATTTAAGTACTTTACTGTTAAACTGTAACTAGCGTGACAGCTTGATAAGAAAAAGTTTATAGGAAATTCTCTGTCTCATTTGCAGGCATGGAGTGAAACAGCCAAGAAATCCATGGTCAGATGGACCTGAGTACATAACTCAGTGTCCTATCAAACCAGGAGGGAGATTTACACAAACTGTGATCCTGTCTCTGGAGGAAGGGACTCTTTGGTGGCATGCTCATAACGAGTGGACAAGAGCAACCGTCTATGGTGCTATCATAATCTATCCGAAACCTGGAACTTTTTATCCTTTTCAAAAGCCTGAACTTGAAGTGCCCATCCTATTAGGTACCCAACTCTTATATCATCCTCAAAAATGTTTCATGCCTACTCTTCTACATATTGTACTATTATTTTTGGTAACCCTCTTTGTTCTTTATATATACTATTTCATATTTGAGACATTTTGATGACCAGGAGAATGGTGGAAGCGAGACATCTTTGAGATCTACGAGGAGTTTCGTGCCACAGGAGGATCGCCAAATGTGTCAGATGCCTACACTATAAATGGCCAGCCTGGTGACTTGTATCCATGCTCGAAAGCAGGTTAGTGCAATTTTTGTACTTTAAACCTTTCAAGCAATGCAAAAGTAGAATTATGAGTTAAACAAAAACAAAAATTAAAGAAAGAGATCAAAGTGAAATTCTGTTATAGCGAGTCTAAGGAACAAAACAAAAATTATAATTAAGGTCAAAGATTAAGATTATGAGATTATCATCAGAATACAACCACAGCACTGGTTTAGATTTACATACTGTTCTTAAGGAGTGTTTGTCACTTCTCAAATATTTCCTTAATTGCAGAAATGTTCAAAGTCCGAGTACAATATGGAAAAACCATTCTATTTCGTATAATCAATGCTGCCGTAAATCAAATTCTCTTCTTGGCTATCACAAATCATCCAATCACTTTAGTTGGCACAGATGGAGAATACACCAAGCCCCTGACAAGTGACTACATAACAATAGCCCCGGGTGAAACCATGGATGTTCTAGTTCAAGCTAACCAGCTTCCAGGCTGCTATTATATGGCAGCTAGAGCATATTCAAGTGGGATTAACGTTGATTTCGATAACACCACAACCACAGCTGTTATAGAGTATGAAGGAGTTCACCCTAACGCGTCTTCAAACCTTTCCCTCCCTTACCTCCCAGCTTATAATGACACCAATGCATCTTATTCTTTCACGAGTAGCTTGAGAAGCTTAGCTAGTAAAGATCATCCTGTAAACGTACCCTTAAAAGTGAACCACCGAATATTCTCCACTATCTCAGTTAACGCGTTACCTTGCCCTGCTAACCGTACATGTGAGGGCATAAATGGGACAAGATTTGCTGCAAGCATGAACAATATAAGCTTTGTTCTTCCTGATATTGATATTCTACAGGCTTATTATTACCATATCAAAGGTGTGTACGGTAAAAAGTTCCCAAAGTTTCCTCCACTGCCATTTAACTATACTGCTGAATTTCAAGATTTGGCACTGGAAGTATCAAAACATAGCACCCAGGTGAGGATTTTTTAAGTTTAATTCCACAATCGAGATAATCTTGCAAGGCACCAATTTAGTTTCTGGACTAGACCATCCGATGCATATCCATGGACAAAGTTTCTATGTTGTCGGCTATGGATATGGTAATTTTGACAAAAACAATGACCCTAAGAACTACAACTTGGTGGATCCTCCTCTTCAGAACACCGTGATTGTGCCTAGAAATGGCTGGGCTACCATCAGATTCAAAGCTCACAACCCTGGTGATTTCCGCTGCTTCTATATTGTATTGATTTGCTTGCTTCATTTCTTTTAACTTTGTTTGTCAGACATCAATATAGATATTTCATACATATCACAAGTGAAAAGTAAGAGTATTCTAAAAACTCCCATTCTAATTTTGGATTGATGTCAACTTTGTTCAGGAGTTTGGTATGTGCACTGTCATCTAGAACGCCATGTTACATGGGGTATGATGACCACCCTCATTGTGAAGGACGGAAAAGACCCGGAATCACAAATGCTGCCTCCACCGCCAGACATGCCACCGTGTTGAAGATGCTACTCAACCAGATTAATTATCAGTTTTTGATGATCTTAATATATACTTATTTGAACTCTTGATTTTGGATTTGTGGTGTTGTGTTATTATTTATGGTTAGTCCATCGCAACTGGCACAACCTGTTTCATTTGTTTGTGTAGATGAAGGCAATTGTCATGGCATTTGGAAATAATATTTGTAGCAATTTCTTTAAGAATTCAATACTTGAAGAAATTAGAAATCCAGTTCAAATTTTATGGCTCCAAACGCTATGCACCAGGTAAAACATTATTATAAACCATAATTATGTGACTAATCACACTTCAGCGTAGCACGCGTACGTGAGGCTTTGTTATATACCAATATGAACTATATACATATTCTTGGCATACAATAAAACAACAAAAGTATTCTTAGGAGGATATCTCTTCTGCCCTTGCAGAAAATTGTTTTCATGTAATAGGTAATACATGCAGTGACGCACGAGCTGCTAGCAGCAACCTGTACACGATGATGTACATTGATTTGCAATTTGTCCCCTCATTAGTACATGATTATACATTGTGAACAGTTAACTCACATCCCACAACCCATTTGAAGGTATAAGATTTTGCAGGGCTGCAGTTACTGATGCAGTCTCTAAGTGTCGTAGATGAAGATACCAATGACACCAAATCGGCACATACAATCCAGCTAGAATCTCAAAGGTCAAACGCTATTTGCATGAGCTGATCCACGTCATTTAAGTACTTGGTTGAGTTGTACTCTTCTGCATCAAAAAGCTCCACTGACTAAGATCTTCGAAGGGAAGGTTTTTGAGTAAGCTTCCCAAGTTCAGAAGAGTTTGAGCCACCTTTCAGGGTCTGCACAACCTGCAACACAAATAATCCATTAAAATTTCCTTGTTAATGACAAACAAACTGCACACTTATCTGGGATGTCAGCATTTAACAATATACGGATTACAAGAAAGTTTTTTGAAGGTGTAGTTAATATATACGGGCATAAACATACAGGAACCTGAACACACACCTACCCCCCCCCCCCAACCCAAAACACCCCCCAAAAAAAAAAAAGGTCATGAGCATTTTTCTCTGAATAATATGATTCTGAAACATAAAACAAGAAGAGTCAATTGATGAAAATTTCTTCAGAGGAATACATGCCTCACTCATTTGAGGTCGTTCAATTGAGAATTGATGAATGCACATGTTAGCTGTCGTGGCCAGTAGTTTTATTTGATCCTTGTCATAGCTATCGCAAAGATATGGGTCAACAAGTTCCTTTAAATTGCTCTTGTCAAGAAACGGTTTGGCCTGCCATAATTAATTGAAGATGATTAAGATCAGATAGCCAGTATATTTGGAAGACTAGATTAGAAGAATGGAATGCGGTGAGAAAGCATATCTATGTATAACATTATGCTCCTACCCACATAACAAGGCTCTTCTGAGTATTATCCAATGCCAGGCGACCAGTAATAAGTTCCAGCAGGAGAACCCCATAAGCATAAACATCAGTTTTTTCATCTACTATGCCATGCATGAAGAACTCTGGGGGAAGGTAGCTGTAACAACCAGAGTTACAGTTAATTACTAGTAAACAATGGGCTCATGACAAAAAAATATCATTTAATTCAATCTTCCAACCCGAATGTTCCTTCAAACTTTGAAACGGTGTGGTGAGTCCATTGATCTGGAAGCCACTTTGCAAGCCCAAAATCAGAGATCTGCATAGGAGTATTAATAAAGAAGTCCATAATTGCTCCACATAATTCAGTTTTAGATATTCTATGTTGCAGTAACCAAGAAAATAAATTAATATTTCACTCAGTAACATAACAATTCAGGCCTCAAATTCTCAAAATAAATTATTGAGGCAAACAAGGATCACAGCAAATTTCTCAAAAATCAACAGTTACAAAAGAGAGACCGTTAATCAAGACTAGAATTCCTAAACAACACTTTAATACGAGCATACAATACCTGTGCTTCAAAATCCTCTGTAAGCAGTATGTTGGCGGCCTTGATGTCCCTATGGATTATTCTCCGTTGACACCCTTCATGAAGATACTGCAGGCCTTCAGCTGAACCCAAGGCAATCTTATATCGAATATCCCATAGGAGTTTCTCCCTTGAACCTAAAAAACAGAGAGAAAACAGCTTCATTTTTTTTCAATCAACAGCTAGTTAAAAATTGTATTACCAGGTATTGATAAATGCTCTTCATTAATACCCACCCCGGAGTACAGATTCTAAGCTTCCATTAGGAGACAAATCAAGAATAAGGTGCATGCCCCCTTCCACACCATAACCATTAACTTTAGCAATATTAGGGTGATTGACATGCACAATGATTCCAAGCTCGGATAGAAAGTCTGCAGCCAGCTCTTCAGGGTCTCCCTTGGACAAACGTTTTACAGCGATAAGATGTCCACTTGGAAGAACTCCCTTATAAACCTCAGCATAACCTCCTTCTCCTATTTTATTTTCTGCGCAAATGGGAGCCAGGGGAAATTAATGACAATGTGGAAAAAAAAAAAAAAAAGTACAAGTTAACAGATTGAATGGCATCAACTTGATGCCATCAAGCAACACAAAGTTAACAATATTAATGGTCTGCAGAAATAATGAAGCCTGACTACCTTTTGTTTAATCCCCAAGTTTCAGATCACGAACCACAGAAAATCTCTTATAGAATTCAGAGAAAACGTAAATACAACATATTATCTTCCCTTTCCCCTAGATGTAAACTCTGTAGATGGTGGCTTAAATATTTCAAATTATAGACTTTTTTCTTAACTGACAACATCAAAATTACCTTTGCTAAACGTGTTTGTTGCCTCTTGAAGCTCTTTGAGTGAGAAATTTTTCCAAGACGGCTTGAAGAAGCACATCCCACTTTCTAGTGCAGGTATAACTGGGATCATGCGATGCCGAGCATTTCTACTCTTTCGCCTAGTAAGCTTAGGCAAAGTCAATGGATGAAGTGTCTGAAAACGCTTAGGTCCCTTTTTTAACATATGGATGAATCCTCGCCAGTGGGAATTTTGTCCACCAGAGTTATGTTCCGAGTCTGAGGTACTCACTGTATCAGACTCTGAAAATTCCTCGGATTCTTCTCTGAGTGAATGATCATCTGCAGCCGCTTCTTCTGTCATCTCTAGTGGTTCCTCCTCTGAATGAGTAAAGTCTAATATAAAAGGTTCTGTCAATATGAATGCGGACTATATCACACCAAAACTGGCAAGGATCATAAACAAAAGGAAACTAAAATCATCTTACCATGAACAGGAAAAGGATCTGAGTGTCCAGATATTCTTCTGAGCCTCTGAAAGACACCCCTCTCCGCAATTTCTGAAGGATCACAAGAACTGTTTCTGCTGTTACCATTTCAATGAAATCAGTTATCAGCCCACCTTCCTCCCTAACTCCCACCATCCCTCTTCACATCCAAAAAAAGATAGAGATAGAACACAGAATAACACAAGCAGCTTAATAGATGTAAATAAAAAAAAGTTCAAAATCTTTCCAGAAGCAGTTCCTACAACAAAGTGAACACTAGAAAATCCCACTCACTACATACATACACAATATAACGTGATCCACCTTAATATTTTCTGACATTCTCACATGACAATTTTATACAAACCTCATAGTAATTAAATGTTTTTGATGTTGTCAGATACTTACCTAGAACTGTTGGGCTTTTGAAGGATCCTAAATAAACAGTATCAGTTAAGAAAAATAGCCAATTTCTACATATTGCAAAATCTTTATATTATAATATGTTGCAAACGAAGCAAGAGAAAATATATTGAAAAAGGTGCACAAAGATATCACAAAGGGACAGCTTGATCTTATACCCTACTAAAGAAAATCATCAACCTGCTAGATGTATTCCGAATCTCATTACTGGGTTTTGCACATGATACGGCTAGTTATAGACATATGATATGATTTTCAAAATGAAGATGAAAAAGGCACATCGACTAACCACTACTCGTCCTTAGAATTTATAGATATACTATGTAAGTGTAATAGATACTAAAGCTTAATAATATGAAAAAGGCACATCCTTTGCTTGCACTTTTATTTTGACATCCTTTACCATGCCTTTAGAAAATAGAAAGATTGCCTTTTTAATCTTCTCAAACTTGGCTATTACATTTTTGCTATTCAAATCACCAAAAGAAGTAAAACGACTATAAGTTTCTTAATTGTCTCACATGACTACAAGCATTCATCAACAGTATAGGTCAATGACCTTCCAAAACAAGTAAACAATTCTATTATTAACTCATTTTAAACATTCATATAATTTCATACATACCATTAGCTTCTAGGAAAGACTACCTCCCCTACCACAGATACATTTGCCTCGCGTAAACACTAACATATCCCTTCCGAAAACAAAGAGGTTTTAATCCATAATTATATTGATTATGAACAAAAATAGTTCCATTTTGACAAACTTTTCCCTAAATTCACCATTATACCCCATAAAAACTCTCCAAAACACCCATATTCTACCCTCTGTCTCCAAAATGTCCATCATATATGCTAAACAAAATACATTCAAAACCAATATCAGCCAAAGCCTTCCCGCCCTGGCCGAGGGATAAACATATAAAGCACGAGAAAAAAAAAACACTATACAGATAACATAGCAAAAATGGTTGCAAGTTCAAAGTATTACATTAACAATTGCATCTTCACATGAACAAATTAACACCAAAAGTAAAACTACAATGATAATCAACATATAACCATCAAATTTTATCATTATGATCATTATAAATCAATGTTTATCCAATATCAAACAATTCATACACTAATTAAGCAAAAACAATTAATAAAAAATCAAAAATCAAAAATTAAAAAAATAAAATAAAATAAAATAAAAAATTAAGAGAATGCAAAGAAATTAAAAAATATATATGAAAGAAAATGATGAAAAATTACCGAGGAGGTAGAGGGGAATGCTCCATTAATTTCATAGAGAAAGAGAAAAGAATGAGGCAAGCCAGAGGAGAGAAAAATGGCGAAGTTCTTTAATTTTAAAAAATCCGCTTTATTTCCGAAATATTTTGCTGGAATTTCGGCAACTTTTTTTTAGATAAAAATGGAATTGTTTCATCTGTTGCTAATTAGACTAATATTACTCTTATCAGAAAATTTAAATTGTACAACAACTTTTTAACTCTTATTACAAACAGATAATAATCCATTTCCTGTTTGTTTGTGTTTTTTTTTTTTTTTTTTTTTTGGTGGCATAAGGATTTGAGATGAATTAATCAAAGATACTCTGATTGTTGACGGCACGAAATCACTGTTACGAGGCCTGCACTAAGGCATCGACCGTTCTCGTTTCTTAATTAAAGAAAAATTAGTCGTGCAACGCACAGCTATTCATTGGTATATAATGTATTTTTTTATTTAAAATATGTTTGTTTATTTATTGGTAGAAGAAGAAGGGGTGGAAATTAAATAAACTTTTAAGACATATTAAGTTGGAGGAGAATGAACTAAACAATATTAATATGTATTGAATTAGGGCTACTTTTTGTTTTTATTTTTTATTATATTTTAGAAAGGGGATTGAAAGGATAGGTTAAATAAGATGACATGTGGCATTATTCAACCAAAAAAAGGTGGCACATGCCAATGAATGCATGATGATTTGTGTTTTTAAATACTAATTATAGATTATATTGTGATTTAGGCTCACTACTCTCAAAAAATAGGGGAAAATCCAAGTTTATCATCAAAATTAACCAAATATTGTTAATCTATTTACTTAAAAAAAATATTGTTAATCTCATCTAGTAGCAAACTAGTTAATACATAAAATCTATTAGTTGTGTTGAAAAAATAGAGTCCCTCGCGTAGGGTTTGTAGTTTTTCTCTCGTCTAGGGTTCCGTTCTGCGTGGTCTTTTTCCAATTAAATTCTACAAAATCTTGCCTTGTGATTCCACAATCAGATCTCACCAAGGGAGTTGGCGCACAGGCTGATCATGGATGATAAGTTATTGAAAGAATGGGAGCGATTGAAGTTGACTGATGAGGAGAACTTTGTGTTGGGACAAGTGAGTGCTTCTTCGACCGAAGAGGGGTCGAACTCAAAAATTGCCATGTCTCTGGTGGGGATGTTACTCACTAGGAAACCTTTTAATGTTGAAGCAATGAAAAGGGTTTTGAAGAACCTGTGGCGAAAAGATGAGAACGTTGCGATCCGTAAAGTGAAAACAAACCTATTTATTTTTCAATTCTTTAATGTTGATGATAGGAGGAAGGTGTTGGATGGTAGACCATGGGTTTTTGACAATCAAATTCTGCTATTGAAGGAGATTTGTGCCAACGAACAACCTTCGAAGGTCACTTTTGATTCTTGCCCTTTTTGGATTAGGCTCATTGACGTTCCCTTTGGTTTGCGATCGCCTCAGTTTGCTCATAATATTGGGGACTGTATAGAAGAATGCATTGAGATTGATAAGTCTGACCCTCTATGTTGGGAGGAATATATAAGAGTTAAAGTGTTGGTGAATATCACAAAATCGCATCGTAGGGGAATGAAAGTTGTTGTTGAGTCTGGTAGTACCAAATGGGTTGGCTTTAAATACGAGAGACTTGGGGATTTTTGCTACTATTGTGGTCGAATTGGCCACACAGTTAAGGATTGCGAGGAGAAGGACAAGTGTGATGCTGCGTCGCCTATTGTGTTCCAGTATGGCCCTTTTTTGTCTGCCTCCCCTCATCGCTCAAAAGTCTCTGAGGCTGAAAGGGAAAAGGAAAAGGGATGGATTGAGAAGCTGAATTCCAAAGGTAGAATGCAACGCTCGGACTACAATGATCCCAAGGCCATACGTCTTGGATCCCTTGGTGCTACAAGGAAACTACTGTTTCGTCCCCAAAGGTATCAAACTCTAGTCCTCCTATGCCTAGAGTTGTGTCCTTGAAGGTTGTGGCTAGTGTTGGTGATGGAAAAATGGTGCTGAGGCCCGTATCCATTCTGGTGGAAGGCGGTAGTGTATCTAGCAAGGATTCGGTGCAGGTGAATATGGAACATGTGAATGACGGGGCGGGGGTACACAAGGAGTTAGTTGATGTAGCTAACCAGGCTGTTGATATGGATGTGGCTGAGGTGTGTGGATCTGCCGTTAAATCAAGGAAAAGAAGACTGGATGCTGTGGTGATGGACTGCCAGAAGGCCGATGCAAGTTGCCAGGAGAAAAAATTAAAATGGAGTGAGTCTTGTGAAAATAATGTTGAGTCTGTAAAGTAGGGAGTATTGGGATCACCCAAGCTCCCGAAAAACGATGAAAATGTTAAGTTGGAACTGTCACGAGATTGGCAACCCGTGGACAGTTAGAGCTCTCCGTGACATATGTTGGAGACATAGGCCGAATATTGTTTTTGTAATGGAAACAATGATTGATGATAAGTGTCTTAATAAAATTAAAAATAAATGTGGTTATACTGATGGTGTGTGTATTAGTAGTATTAGGAGATCGGGGGGAATGGGTATGTGGTGGAAAGATATTAAGGTCAATGTGGTTTCGAACTCTGTGCATCACTTTGCTATTGATATCTTAGATGATAATAATTGTGCTGTGTGGAGGGCTACGGGAATTTATGGATGGCCGGAACAATCAAATAAACACTTAACTTGGTCCCTCATGGCTTCCTTGAAAGCAGATTGTAGTATGTCGTGCATTATGTTTGGTGATTTTAATGAGATCTTGTGCCGGAGGGAAAAGGAAGGAGGCCCCCCAAGAAATGAAAGACTCATGGATGCTTTTTGAGAGGCTTTGGATACCTGTGCTATGCGTGATTTAGGGTATAATGGAAGCATTTTCACTTGGGAGAGGGGTAATACCATGGAGATATATGTGAGGGAAAGACTTGACAGATTTATCGCAGATGAAGAATGGTGTGCTCTATACCTGAATTTCAAAGTAAGAAACCTACCTATTCTTAAAACTTTTTCTGATCATGCCCCTATTATAATGTCAACTGAAACAAGGGGTGTCGATAATGAGGGAGGTACGGGTTTTAAATTTGTGTCTCTATGGTTATCTAGTGTTGAATGTGGGGAGGTGGTTGCAAAGGGATGGCGGGAGAGTGTGGGGCTCAATATGGTGATGAGAGTGTCTACGTGTGGGGAGAACTTAGCATCTTGGGCTGCCTTCACTTTTGGGTCGGTGAAGAGATCAAGAAAGGGGAAAAGAAAATGAGGGAGTTAAAAGGGGGCGTGATGGATGGTGCAAAGCTGACGTTATGCAATTCTCTTGTTGCGCAGCTTCAGTCTTTGTATAGATTAGAGGAGTCCTACTGGCATGCGAGGACAAAAATACAAAATATTTCCATCATAAAGCTAGTCAAATAAAAGCTCAGAATAGAATTGTGAGGTTACATGATGAGAATGGGGAGTGGCTACCGCAGCATGTGGACATAGAAAGGCTTATTGAGGCATACTTCTAGAACCTATTTGCTACGAGCTCACCGACAGGGTTTCAAGATGCTTTGGAGGGGATAGATAGAGTGGTATCTGGTGATATGAATGCTATGCTTGACTGTGAGCCGACGGCAAATGAAATAAAAAATGCTCTATTTCAAATGCATCCTAATAAAGCTCCCGGCCCTAATGGTATGCACGCTCTCTTTTTCCAAAAATTCTAGCATATTGTAGGCCCTGATATTATTGCTTTTGTAAAGAACTAGTGGAGAGGTGATGTGAACTTATCGGAAGTGAATAATACTTGCATTGTTTTGATCCCCAAGTGTGAGTCCCCGACGCAGGTTTATGATTTTAGGCCCATTAGCTGCTGTAATGTAATATATAAAATTATTTCGAAAACAGTGGCAAATAAGTTAAGAGCTTCTTGATAAGGTGATCTCGATAAATCAGAGTGCTTTTATTCCTGGTCGCCTTATCTCGGACAATGTTCTTGTGGCTTTTGAGATTTTCCATGCAATGAAGAGGGGTGGGGAAGGTAACGATGGTAACTTTGCTCTAAAGCTTGATATGAGCAAGGCGTATGATAGAGTGGAATGGGAATTTTTGGAGAAAGTGATGGATAAGATGGGATTCTCTGAGGGTTGGATCGGTCGAATTATGAACTGCCTCTAGAGTGTAAAATTTGGTTTTAAAATAAATGGGCAAATTTCAAGCTCGGTAATTCCATCTAGAGGGCTACGGCAAGGTGACCCAATTTCTCTCTATCTCTTTTTAATCTGTGTTGATGCTTTTCAACCTTATTAAATAAGGCTGCTAGAGATGGTATGGTACATGGTGCTAGAATCTGCTATGGTGCTCCCCGAGTTTCACATTTATTTTTTGCTGACGATAGTATACTTTTTGCTAGAGCTAATACTCAAGAGAGCTCTGTGATAGCTAATATAATTAGCAAAATATGAAAGAGCTTCGGGCCAGAAAATTAATTTTGATAAAACTGAAGTGACTTTTAGCAAAAAAGTTTGTCCCGGTCGTTGAAAAGAAATTGTGGAGTCTTTAGGGGTTCGGGAAGTCAATAGGCATGAAAAATACCTTGGCTTACCGACGATAGTTGGGTGATCCAAGAGAGCCATCTTTGCAGGCCTTAAAGAGCGGCTCTTGAAGAAATTGCAGGGTTGGAAGGAGAAATTGTTATCTATGCCTAGGAAAGAGATAATGATTAAAGCGGTTTCTCAGGCTATCCCGACTTATATGATGAGTATTATGAGGATACTAGATGGAATTATTGATGAGTTCCACTCTCTCTTGGCTCGTTTTTGGTGGGGTTCTACAGGTTTGACAAAAAAGCTACATTGGCAGAAATGGGATGATTTGTGTAAACCAAAGAATGTGGGTGGATTTGGCTTCCGTGAACTTCAATGCTTTAATAAAACCCTACTAGCAAAACAAGTATGACGCCTTCACCATAACCAAGGTACCCTTGTGCATTCTATCTTGAAAGCAAAATACATTAAAAATGGTGATGTATTAGAGGCTTATCGTGGCTATGACCCGAGTTATACGTGGAGAAGCATGTGGGGTGCAAAATCTTTGCTCCTTGATGGATTGAAATGGAGAGTGGGGAACGGTTGTGACATTCCAGTTTGGGATGCTGCGTGGCTGCCTGGAAATTCCTCGGTATGTGTGCGTACTTGATGAGTGACATTTATGTCACTCTTAGGGGTAGTATTTAGGTCTTTTTCCTCTTATTTTTCTTAGGTTTTTCCACCTCATTTATCCTCTTATGGCTTCTTTATGTGTTGATGAAAAGTAATGCTTATTTGCGCTTATTTTAATAATCTTTATGCATTATTTTATCATCCCCATGCTCTCGTGAACTTTGGTATCTTCTGCAGGTTCCATGACGGTCCTATGCACGGTGGGAGGCCCCTTGGCCAAGTATGGAAGCCATGGACAAAGGCAAGAGGAGCAAAAGGGAAGGAGAGGAAGCAAGAAAAGGAAGTGCAAGAGGAGGTGTGGCCGAACCTCTGAAAGGTCCGGTCGAACCTAGGTGTGGTCAAACTTTTGAAAAGTTTGACCGAACCTCCAGGGTGCAGTGAAGGCAGTGTCAAACCAGTTTTCAGCAATTTTGCAGGAGAGGTCGAACCACAAAAGATCGACCAAACAAGGATCAGGGAGGTTCGACCGAACCTACACAGGGTTCGACCGAACCTACACAGGGTTCGACCGAACCTACACAGGGTTCGACCGAACCTACCCTGAGTCCGACCGAACCTACCCAGAGTTCGGTCGGACCTTTTCCCGATCTCAACCAATTTTGTACGGACTATTTAAGGTCCTTTTGAGATCGTTTTTTAAAAAAGAAGAAAAACAGTAGCCTAGTTTTCAGAAACCTCTCTTAGTTTGAAACATTCCTTAGGATTAATTTAGCTTAGTTTTCATCAAATCAAATCATTGTATTAGTGAAATTCAAGAATTATTCTCAAAGTTTGGCAATTTGTATTCAACATTTGAAGCTTCAATTAGTAATTTCTCCAACCTTCTTCCTTTTAATTTCAGATTTTATTTGGTATTTGCATGTTATTTAAATCTTCTTAGTTCTTGGTAATTTGTTATTGGATGATAGTTATTTCAATTGTTAACCACTTTTCCCCAATTATTGAAGTATTTAGAACCCTAATTCTTGATTGCATGTTGATAAACATGAGTTGTGAGTAGTCTTCTTGCTAGGGGTTGGGTGAAGCTCGACCTTTTGGGTTAACTTTGCAAATGTGGGAGAAGCATTGATGTTTGTATTGCAATTAAATTGATTATATGAGATTGCTTGTTAGTTCCTCATGATAGGTTTAGCTACCCTTGATTAAGGAGCTTGATAGTATGATATGCCTAATTTGTCATGGAAGTGTAAATTGAGTACGTCATTACTTATTGTAATTTGATTATGTATCATCTATTGCTAAACTAATGAGGAATCTAAGTTTAGTAGTGTGAGTTGTTTTCTAATTGCATGAGGTTGATTTTACATATAGTCCTTGCTATATCTTGTCTACTTTACTCCCGGTTTGCCTATTTGCCTTGGTTGAGTGGATCTCATTCCCTAGTATCTTTAATTCATTGATTTAGAACCATAGTTTGTCTGTCTTCTTGACGAACCCCAATTCACCAATTGACTTCGAGTTAGCTTAAGTGTAAAGATCTTTGGCAATCATATCCCGTTCCTTGTGGACCGAACTCTTACTTGTCATTATGCTTGGTTTGTAAGGTGTTTGTTAATAAATGTGTTTGATTGAGTGTGGAATGTACGACCGTTCTAACTCCCATCAAAATGGCGCCGTTGCCGGGGACCGATGTTGTTGATAGCTAATTGATTACTTGAGTCTAGTTCACCATAAAAAAAATTTCAAAAAGATTGTTTCTTTTTTGCTACACTTGTAGCCTTGGTACTAATTGCGTTTGTTGAGAGTGTATGCGCTGAATTCATAACAGGATCTTGGTACCTTACGATCCCGAGATTGAGCAAACTTATAGAAGGAGAAAAAGAGCCGGTTCTAGGCCGTTTACTACTCCCCCAGCTAGGGAGACCAATTTCGAGGAGGGTCGAGATCAAATGGGTGACGCGGAACCACCACCTCAAAGACCTTTAAAGGAGTTGGGAACTCCGGGAGCTTATAGAGCTTCAAGCGGCATTGCTCCACCCGTTACTCAAGCCAATGACTTCGAGATTCGGCCCGCAATGATTAATTTGATTGAAAGGAGGCAATATAGTGGAGCAAAACATGAGAGCCCTCTTGCACACTTGAACGAGTTCGAAAAATATTGTAACACGA